ATGTAAATTGTGTATATATATGTAAATAATATGTAACTACGGGAGTTTTCTTGAGAAGTAGAAACATAGACAGGGTTAAGTTAATACTTTTGCCAAGTTCTACGAGTTAAATATTGCCGTGACGAATTTTTATTGTGGATTGTCCTTGCATTAAAAAATTCTTCAATGGGAATAATGGAGCATGTATGATAAACAGTATTAGTTCAGCGTGCCTCGTGCACTTCTATTTGGGAGCTTGCGGCATTAGCCTGTCCACAGAAAAGGGTTATATTCTCGAAAAGGGAAGAACGGCGGAAACCGTGAGAACACAAGGCTTGGGAGTTTGGCTTTAGAAGCTTTCCACTGTTATCACATAGCGAGGGGGTGGCGTGACCGTAGGAGTGTCAGTGGCCTGCCTTATTTAACAGATGTGTACTGAGAGCAGTAGGCAGGTTGCTGAGACCGGTGGGGGATGAACCGTCGTGTGGGTGTGCAAAATTGGCGCCAACGTGTGCATAGTTGCGAGCCAGGTCGCGAGGACTGGAGTCATGTTAGTTGTTACGAAGCCTGCGGACTTTTAGTCCCTTGGAGTGACTCGGTCACGGGGGGAGCGTTGGCGATGTGGCGTGCTCCGAGGGAGAGTGTTGAGTGCCTACGATGCACGCCGTCTCCAATCGGATAAGATCGCTCCTGCGATCCAGGCCAAACCATGCCGTTGGTGCGCCAAACGGACTTTGTGTCCAAGGCGTGGTCGTCAGCGAAGCTATTCAGAGCATTGTGGGCTAAGTAGGACGTGGCGAATGCTCTTATCAAAACATCTCATCGACGGTTGATCGCTGCCGCAGCGATCAGGATAAGTAGGTCTATATTAGCGAGCTAGGTGTAATGTAAATTATTAAAGTGTACTGGAATTTGTTTTTGGTTTCTTGTTAAATAAATATATTGTTATAAAAAGACGAGCTCTGTGTCTGTGTTCGCTGTGAGTATCGCACTTGACGTCACAGTGGGTGCAGCTTCTCGGAGATGCACTAGCAAGCGGAATTCGTTGTAGCACGGCAAGAGAAAAATAACGGAATGTGTTTGCCGACAGGGCCAATTCTCCAGCGCGGGGTTGGCACTGTCACGTTGAACTAGCAGTAATATAAGTTAGCGGCGAAAATCGCTTTCGGGATTCGTATGACGAATGAAATCTTCCGTGTTGAGCTTGCATTTGTCCACCATGCGGTTGTGCTACGCAAGCCTGGACTATGGCGAGTTGTGTCTCTCGCCATAGAGGATGACAGGCCAGAAGCGCGCGACGGCGAATAAGTATGATATAAATTGTAATTGTTCAAGCTAATCTTATGCAAAATACTATTTTCTGACTTCAGAGAGTGAAGGGAGAGAATGAAATTCGATACACGGGACTGACACGCCAGTTCTAAAAGGAAGCGTTTATGTGTAGCATGCGAGGTAGAAGACACAGAGCGCAGATCGTATAGAAATGAAATTGGTATGAAGTCAGAAGAGAGATATGAACCCATCCTTGAATAGAGAGAAGAGATGATCATTGGTCGTAATCTTCGGTTATTTGTTAATAGATGCCAATAACTGCGTCACTCGCAGCCTGTAGCCCACTAAAGTGTAAAGGATACTGCTTATTGATTTAATTGCTGAATTATTGCAGAGCTAAAATTAATCTTAGACGTAGCACACGCGCTTTACGCGGGCCATGGCCGGTGCACCGCGCTGACGAAAAAGGCCACAACGGGCGGGTGGGTGACGCCAACGCGCAGAAGAGGAAGTGGGGGTGGGCGAGTGTTGTTTTCATAAATTTCATCTTTAGACATCCCTATGCGTCGATTTGCGTTGATGTCACGGGGGCGTTGGATTCAGGAAGATGTGCCATCGCGCTATAAGCAGGCCATGTGTACAATTTGTTCTCAGAAGTTGAGAAACTAATTTCAAATTCCGACATTTTACCTAGATTTTTGGGAAAAGGTTATCATGAACGTAAAATCTATTTTAAAAAGGCGTAAATGGTTTACAAGATCGAAACGAAACATTGGTTCCAGACGTTATCGGTAAAGTAAATTTTACTTATTTTGGTGCTGCCACGTGGTGGCTACAAATTGTACTACTGTCGGGACATTTGCCTTAATATAAACTAATAATTTTATTTACGGCTAAAATACGCATGGCGTATCGTTAGTACATTTATTATGTATAACGTGAATAAATTGATTCAATGGCAAATAACTGTTTACGTTTAAACGTTTGAATTTTTTTTAAATGTATTTTTCGTTTTTCATTAATTTTTGTTTAATGAATGTTTAAATGGTAGTTTTTTTTGTTTTTTTTAATTTTTTGGGTCTATATACATGCAATGCGTCTCCTAACTTTTTAAGAAGCGTTGAGAGCACCGTAGAGTAATCATCCGTTATTTAACACCCAACACCCTCTAGGGGCCGCTGGGGAGTAAAGTCACGTCAGTCGCAGTCACGTCTAGCAATCGCCGATAGATTGTGTCTTCGCGCTCTTGTCTCGCACGCGCCCTGTGTCATCTACCTATCGCTCAGAATAGGGAAGAAACAAGGATAGGGGGTAACTTTTAGGACGATTCACAGGGGTTAGACTAGCCTCTGTGAAGCATGCAAACTCGTTTTGTTGTAACAAATTTCATATGAGGTTCCACGGAGATTCTACGGGAATCGGGAGAGTAGAAGTGTGAAACAAAAATTGTCGTAATATAATATTACATAACCATTATCAATGTCGCGAGAAAGTTTGTGTTGTTCTAGCAACACTAGTATTCATAGCATTTATTACAAGAATAGAGATGAACACACCTATAAAGATAGCATACATCCTATTTTCACTATTATCTCTTAAATTTTCGAAAAGGTACAATTTTTTTCTGACGTTTTCCTACAACTACAATATTTTCTTTCTCTTAAACAGAATCGTTTTCCAGGATTAATTATTTTATTATTATTTTATACGTTTTCTGTAAATTTCAGCAGTGTTTGAGTAAAATATAGGTTCTTTTTAATTTCTTCTTCAAAGCGGCAGCAATATTTCTCCCAATTTTTTGATATAATAGTGCATAAGGTAAGATAGTGCACAATTGTATTGTATAAAATGACATAAAACGCTGGCCGAAACGTTAGCCACCATGACATCGACGCGGCTCGTCCCGGATAGCCCAGCCAACATTTATGCTAATGTACCTCTTATTCTTGAATAACATTTGAAAATTGTCCATGCCAAGAATAACAAATGTCTTTCTTTTGCAGCCATCGACTTGGTGGATTGGAAATTATGTTGTAAAGATGCCTCTCAAAATATATATTCCTACTTGTGCCAATCTTCAGAGGAATCTTCTAGTTCATGCTGAAGATTAGCCAGAAGCAACTACATTCACTGAATGTAAATATATTTTACAATATAAAATAATTATGATCAAACTTTGACAATACAAAGTTTATTTATTAAAGACACCATTTTAATGTATTCCATTGTTTACATTTCTTTAAAGTCTCATGTAAATTGGGTTAGATACTATTTATTTTGCGTTGTCGTTTGACATAAGTCATAAATAGAAACTGCACATTGTAACCGTTGTCTGCACATATATTATGCGCGGTGCAGCACTACAAAGAAGTAATATTTTGAATTGAATTGAATTGAATTTGCCTTATTTTACGTGGCGAGATTATATATTCATTTTTCAAAATCTCGCGATGCGCATCGTTCTTATTAACAATTGTATAATAAACATGAACTTATTGATGAACGTTCCTTGATTTCTTTTTATTTGCCCATTATAGTGGAAGGTGCTCTATATGCCGGAAGATTTCTAATTTTAGACATCGTACTATGGAGCGCAGTAGTTGTTGACGTTGCTTGAATCGAAGTTACGACCAATGTCACCGGAGCCATTAAGAGCTGGAACCATAGTCGAGCGCACGAATCTTTCAAAAAATAGGAAGATCGCAATGCAAGAAGCGTCTTGATTGGCTGCTCGCGACGCGGGACAATTCCGCGGACGGAGTTCACAATGTGAGCGATTCCTTCTGGCGAAAATTTTTTTAAAAAATTTATTGTACCCAAACAGAGGGTAAACCGCTTTGCAGATTTAATTTGGAATTGCTTACTAGCAATAAAACAAAATCATGTGACACAAGGTAATAAAAATAATAAAAATGCGAATATTATGAAAATATTAAAACACTTTACTAGGGATTGCATTCACCAATAATATATTTTATCACAAAAATACATTATCATTGAAGGATGTGCATAGCATTGGTTACAAATACTTTACTACAATTTATTCTTATCGTTGACTTAGGAAAAGCAACTTAATTGAAGATCGTTAGTTTCTAATAATTGAAACCCCGAAGTCTCTACTTTCTGATGACCCGGGATCCCCCTCCTGCTACCGAAAAAGTGGATAAAAATGCGAAAGCTAATATTTTCGGGCGTCTTCCTACAACCATAATATGGACATTTGAGTTTTTCCCTTCATCAAATGTGTTCTTTAAAGACACAAAATACGCAATTGAAAAAAGATATTGTACAATTGTTCGAACATTTAGGTAGTTTTTGTGTAATTTGGGGTTAAGTATAGGTGATTTTTATTTTTTAAGTTATTTTCGCGGTTCTCAAAATACGCTCCGATGTTTTTCTTAGATTTTACAATAATGAAATAAAGACGCCGATCAGATCGCGGAAGCTGTCTCGAACCAGAAGCTCGCGTGTTCGAATCTCGCCTCGAGCATGGGTATATTTGTGTTTGTATGTACATGTCTTTCATCCCTCACCATCACCATCATCATCAACAACAACAACATTTCATCTTCAATACTCCAGGGCTAACAACCCTGAGGGATAAAAATCGGATCTAGCTAATTGCTGATCTCATGATAAAATTACACGGACCTGTCACCGAGATATTGTTACCGAACCCCGGTGAATATAGGGTGCATGAACGCGTGGCAGAAGTCGGCCTGTTCCCGAGCAAAAAAAAAAAAAAAAAATAGAGACAGTTCGCGGCCAGTTGCCGTCGAGTACAGTTGTGTCAGAGCGCGTCGCTCTTGTATTCGCGAGTGAAAGTGTTGCGAAGTTGGAACTGAGTAGTGAAGTGTTTATTACCTTCTCAGTGAATTATTGTTAAAATTAAGATACTGGGAGATATCAGCTAATAACATCACACCACGGATTCTTCTGACTACAGGGGAGCCATAACCTACAACACCGAAAATCAACATGACCAAGTAAGAAAATCGTATTCTAGTGTTACTTTATCAGACGTTTTTCACACGAAGGAACAAGCTGTAATACTAGAATCACACGAGGGACTATCTGTCAATGCATATATTAGTTGAATTGCCTCGATTGTAAATGCTAGTGGCATAAGGTACATATCTCGTATCACTAACAACACAATATGTTTATTGTTTGCCAATCAAGAGATTGCCGGTAAATTCACATACTCGTGAAATCATCAAATATAGAAATAAAGTATCATAAGTTAGCAGAGAGATCATTTGTTAGTAACCATAACAGAGTAAGTATACCAAAATGTTGGTCCTATCACTCCCCATGAAATAATAGAGAAAGAATTTACTAACAGAGACATTATGATATATACCAAAATATCCTTTGTAAAAGCTGGCCTATCAAACCCAGGTTTTTCTCATATTGTGAGTTTTCGAAGACAATTCTATGGTGTTCCAGAAAAGCTAGCAAAACTACCCACCTACTGCTGAAGGTACATTATATAGAATATTCATCTCTTCCTTTATTTGTAATGATAAGGGTCACTTTGCAAATCAATGTCCATAAAAAACATTGAATAGTGATTAGAATAGCATTCTGTAATTAAATCATCTAAGAATAAAACAATTGAAAATAGATTAACATTATCTGAAGCTCATAATCAAAACACAACACAAATATTTAACAACATAGATTTATCTGAGCCTACCCTTCTGACTTATCTTCTTACTAAATACTTAGTAATAAAATAATAGATAATAATAATAATAATAATAATAATAATAATAATAATATTAATGAACATCAAATCTCAACCATTAAAAAGAAAGCAATGAACAAAAGGTAACACAAAACCCTCGAAACCACAAATAGTAAAAAAGTAGAAGAATTAATAATAACATAATTGTTCTATTCAAAATAACCCAGATAAAATTCCCTTAAATCATCAACAATTCTTAATGTTTTACAAAAGTACTTTGTCCTCAATGATGTGATAATTGTTTCTAAAGATTTTACGAATGATTTGGAAGCTTTATTGAAAATGATGAAAGATATTTTCTTTCTTCTTGAGGAAATAGCTAATAACAGATTCACCAGAATCAAAGGTAGAATTAATAAAGCAAATTAACAATATTAGAGGGTAAGGTACAGAAACTACAGAAGAAGAATAATTTAAATGCTATCAGTGTATACAACAAGTATTAGAACATATCCTCTGAATATATTTTTCTCTCTTCACATAAATAATTGTTTCTAACCCAAGTAATTTTTATTATATATTTTAGTGAAACTTAAATGAATTTTACACCAGAATTGAATATTTAAATTTATTGCAAAATAATTATGGTGCAGCTGTTTTTGCCTTCAAGAATCCAATCTTAAAAATAATCAAATCCCAAAATTAAAATTATACAATTACTTTCAAACAAAGCGATCAATCTCTGTACATGCCTGTGGAGGAGTTTCTATTTTGATTAACAATAATACCGAAGCACAAGAAACGTCTCTACGATCTCAAGCTGAAGGCATGGCAGTCAAAACCAATCACCCATTTAACACGAGTGTATGCAATATCTACTTGCCAAACAGTCAACTCTTCCACAAATAGCAAAGCCTAACAAAATGTGAGCGTAGTGACGCTGTATTTATGACCTTAAATTCGTGAATCGAATTTAATTGATTAATGTCATCTGCCAATGTATAGTGAAGTAACGTGCATTATGACTTTCTTCTAGTGAACTGATCGTACTGACTGGTACTGACGCCTGAGGAATGTGATTAACAACGTGTGTTGTAATTACAAATTTCAAGAAAATATGTTCATAGGAGTTAATTCAGTTTGAGAAAAAAATTACTGTCATAAATAAACAAGCAAGGCAATGATAAGTTTTGAGTGAAACAAATAAAATTGGTTTGGGATCTTTAAAGTAAGTCTTCAGTCGATTCCTTACAATGTATTCCTTATTTGTGCCTCATTCTCATGTTCATGAAAAAGTGTTCATGCATTCATTAGATATATCATGGTAAAAAACTAATGTTCTTTTGGTACATTTTCTCTTTCCTTGTGCTGTACGAAACATTAACACAGAGTTAATAACACAAAGTATTATTTCCGATGCTCAATATTGATTTATTTAGAGAAATGAATAGTAATACATCAGAATATTGAAAACACATAAAATGCTCGAACATGTGTTGCAAATGATAACTATCCAAGGGGAATTGCACTCGTAGGCACCTCAGTCACTGAGATGCCGTTTCAACCCTCATGGCTTTATCTTCTTCAGAGATAAAGTGCAGTTCTAGCCATGATGGACACCACAGCCTGTTGGTTCTCAGACTTCGTCCCATTCAATCAAATTTCTATTTATATATCATTTGAAATGGTTAAATTTATATCTATAATTAACATTTATATCTATAACTAACACTTGAATTTAAGCTAAAATTCATTTCTCATCACAGACAATACAAGACATGATGTTTCAGAATTATTTAATTAAATAATTGTTCCTGACAAAGAAAACACTAACTAAAACAAACAGAAAAGAAAAGTGCACACATATTTTTTTACCCTTTTATTTCAAAACTGGTAACATGAAAAGCATAGAATTAATATTAACGTTATTTCTGGAAGGTGACTGATGTTTCAAACTTCCACTAACAAGTTATCTCTTGCGCAGATTCTGAAGCTTCTGAAGAGGGAATACTTTCCGGAAAACATTCTCCACATTTGACAAAGTCAACAGCTGCAAAAAAATTAGATGAATGTAAATTATACGTCAAAAAGAAGTTAGGGGTTCTAAACATAAAGAATATTTAACTAGAAATACAATTAATTTTTTCAAGTTTTGTATTAAAATGTATCAGTTACTATTTTTTAACTTAATGCTTTGTTACATACATACGTTGCATATGTACGTTGGATACTGTTCCATATGTGAATATACCTTTTGTTTTCGCAATCTAGTCAGTAATGTTTTACAGATCTATTAATTTTATATCGCTTTTTCTTACATTTTCATTTTATTTTAGTATTTTAAATGATAGCCCTGATAGCTTGCACTTTCAATGTTAGTGTTCCTGAATGTTTTGGGAAAATAAAAACACATGTAAAGTAGATTGAAAATAAATGAATATTTAATGCCTTTAACTAAAATCATAACTTTAAGACACTATTAACACAATCTGTCGAATTGCTCCTCAAAAAACAAAACAAAGTGTGTGTCTTTCAGAAGAAAACTAATCCTATCCGACTCATCAAGTTCTCTGCACTAGCAGGAATTAGCCTAAACAGAATGCTTCTTGGGATGTTCGGTCACGTTTTGCTTTCTATAGAAACAAGAAAATACTAAGACTCGGGTACTTGTTAATGCACGAATGTTATTGTAACACTGAAGGTCATTGTTGAATTTATTGTACCAATGCAGAGGGTAAACAGCTTTCAGGTTGGAATTGGAATTACAAGTAATAAAACAAAATCATGTGACACATGGTAATGTAAAATAATAAAAATGCGAATATTAGGAAAATATAAAAAAATCATTGCCGATTACATTCAATAATAATATATTTTATCACAAATATACATTAACATTGAAGGATGTGCATAGCATTGATTACAAATACTTTTGAAAAAATGTGAGGATGAGATTTATTCTTCGTTGTCTTAGGAAAAACAATTTAATTGAAGATCGTTAGTTTCTAATAATTGAAACCCCCAAAGTCTCTACTTTCTGAAGACCCAGGATCCCCCTCGCACTTTCCATCACTGACTAGCGTCACATCTGAAAAATAATAGGTTCGTTAACGTTTACTTACAATGAAGCACCCTCTATCTCTGTCTTATTCCTTTGTTTCTTCTATGAATGAGTTAGGAATAATAGATACATGAATAAATAAAGAGGCCATTACTACGCTTTCGTACCGTCATTATGCCAGTTTGGATCGAACCAATAATTTTATCAAGATGTGTATATTTCATATCAGCCTATTTATTTAATTTTTGAAAAAATAGTTTGTGGATTTCAGATGCACATTAATGTTTAGTAGCTTTTAGCGACTAAACACAAACTATCTGTCTTGCTTACTATATTGTATTACCAAATTATTTTGGAATATTGCAAAGATTTCTACACTTATAGCAAGAAATCAAGTCAGGGCCTCTAAAATATGATACAAACTTACGCATGTCATCTGTACTTACTTACTCTGCACATCCATTGATGTGCATTAATAATACTTACTTATGTTGTTTTCCATTTCATATTCCCTCACATAGCACCTATTGCAAAACGACCGGAGGCTTCCATCTGGCAGGAGGCCACAAACGGGATCGCATGCTTCTTCGCAAGACACGCCTTCGTTGCAGAACGCGCCGCAAATGACGCCTTGGAAAAAAATTCAATTATCATACGTTCAATCATCATACATTCAATCATCAAAATACATTCAATCCAACATTAATGTTCGATTAAATTCACGTGCAAAACCAATGAGCTATCAACGGCAGGTTCTACGTTGTAAAATGTCAACAAAAAAAGATTTCACGTCCGCATTACTTTCTGTTAGTAAAAACAATTTGTTTACACAAAGATGTAATTTATTTGATATTTATTGTTGCAAAATATAGCAAACATACGAATATTTACTTCATTTTTAAGTTATGTTTGTGAAGCCTCTTAAACAAAGGAGTTTTCATCAAACAAAAAAAATCATCTGCAGTTTCTTTTGAACACGTTTTAAAAATACTGCCGCACGATTTTATTTAATAGTTCACGGGTTTTTAAATATGATAAGATTAAAATTTTACGAGAGGAAGTGCTCAGGTTTTTATAGAAACTATTATATAACATTTAATGCTTGAAACTCATGTTATTACTTGTGTTTGTCGTAATGAAACTTAATAAATTATTCCACGAATCTTCATACCTCCTACTAAAGTCCCGTGCTAGGATTACGTTTAGCGAGCTTCTTTATACAAAAAACGTCTAGT